AGGTATATTGTCTGCCCCTTTCATGAAAACATGTAACACATCAACCAGAAATATATAAAATTCTTTATCTGGTATTTCTAAAATATGGTCATCTCTAAGTGAGGTTCTGATTGGTCTGCTGTCTCTTAGCAGAGGGTTGTATGCTCTTTTTTTAAAATCTTGTAATTCTTGATTGAATGCCAGAAGAGTTGACTCATTGGAAAAGACCCTGATGCTGGGAGGGATTGGGGGCAGGAGAAGGGGACGACAGAAGATGAGATGGCTGGATGGCATCACCGACTTGATGGACACGAGTTTGAGTAAACTGCTGGAGTTGGTGATGCACAGGGAGGTCTGGTGTGCTGCGATTCATGGGGTCGCCAAGAGTTGGACACAACTGAGCGACTGAACTGAACTGAACTGAACCATGTATCAAACAGTAGAGACTTAAGTAAATAGTATTTTTGCTGGAACTGGGCACACCTGTACTGCTGGGATGTTAGAGTAGAATGTTGAACTAGTCCCATTGAGAATTAAGTTGAAATTGGATTCTGTTTTTACAATAGTTATCTTCCATATACTGCTTGAAATTTTTCTAACATTACCTTGTTTTAGGGTGGGTGCTGGAGGATTTTCCTCAATGGTCCTTGTCCACCTTCAGCTTCTGGCTATCTCTGTGCACCTGTGCCACAGAATTCTCCATCCACATTCTTCTCCTTTTCCTTACATAGCCAGATATTGGCTTGTCACTAAGAGAAAGCTAGCCTGTTTATGGGGACCAGGGATGTTCTTTATTGAGTTGGTTTAGTCTTACTCTTGAGTGGGGACTGGAGTGATCAGAGACTTTATACGTTTTTGGGAGCTAGGACTATATAACACTAATAATGAGAAAAATTCTCTTCTCTAGGCTGTGAACAAATAAAGCAGGTGATACTGCCTCTTTGTGAGGAAACTGAGGTCCAGAGGAAAGAAAATTAAAGGAGAGCAACATAAAGCCCTTTTGAGTGACCCAGACTCAAGTCTTACCTTATCAGTATCTTTTCACTTAAATGAACTGAGATGAGAAACATTTTTGGTTTAAGCAACTCTGTAGATTAATGAAATTCTGTAGGTTACAGTTTGTTAACCTATAATTAAAAGCACCCTGAGTGAAAAAACCACCATGAGCTCTCATGATCTTCCCTTGGAAGTGAGAGTACTAAAGAAACACATTAAAAGCCCTGAATTTCTGATGATACTGTGAAACTTGAACTCGCACCTTGGAAGCCAGGTTAAGCCTGTGCCTTGGTCACCCCATTCACCTAACAGGTTGATATCTGACAGAAAAACTATGGAGCACCAATTTATACTATGTCTGAATTGTACCAGGTTGTTTAAGGCTGCATGGGCTTTGAAGAAATTTTATAGGTAGTTAAAGCTGCTGACACCTAATCTATCTGTATCCTCTAGAGATCTCTGAACATTACCTTCAGGAGTTTTACTCTTTAATTTTGGCTGTAATGCCATCTAAAGAAATAGAGCAATCACATTACGAGTTCTTAATTATAAGGGACAATGTCTCAGTACTTTATTGCTTTGGTAAAATGTTAACTGTGAATTTTAAAAAGTACAAAAAAGACTAAGCTAAAATTCTGCTTGCCAGAGAAAACCACTGTATACATGATAGTGAGTTATCTTTCACAGATTATCTATTAAGCATATATTTGAACATATATGTATAAACACCAAAGGTAACTGGATATTATGAAAGTGCAATCTGCACTTTTTACTAAACAATATGCATGAGTTTTCTCTGTCATTTTATATTGGTCCTATACTTCCTATAGCACCATATTATAGGAACACTGAGAAATTTATCTTTATTAATTTGCAGTTTTAGTAATTACCCTTATGTATATAGCCTGTTTAAAATCACTTTATCATAAACTATTACTCTATGATTTCCAGGTATGTACACTGACCAGTTCAGAATTGGGAAAGGAGGACGACAGACTATATACTGTCACCCTGCTTATTTAACTTATATGTAGAGTACATAATGTGAAATGCCAGGCTGGATGAATCACAAGCTGGAACAAAGATTGCCAGGAAAAGTATCAACAACCTCAGATATGTAGATGATACCACTCTAATGGCAGAAAGTGAAGAGGAACCAAAGAGTCTCTTGATGGGGGTGAAAGAGGAGAGTAAAAGAGCTGATTTGAAATTCAACATTAAAAAAAACTAAGATCATGGTATCTGGTCCCATCACTTTATGGCAAATAGGTGGGGAAGCAATGCAAACAGTGAGAGACTATTTTGGGGGCTCCAAAATCACTGCAGATGGTGACTGCAGCCAGGAAATTAGGACACTTGCTCCTTGGAAGGAAAGCTATGATAAACCTAGAAAGCATATTAAAAAGCAGAGACATCATTTTGCTGACAAAGGTCCATCTAGTCGAAATTATGATTTTCCCAACAGTCATGTACAGATGTGAGAGCTGGAACATAAAGAAGGCTGTGTGTGTGCACGCATGCTCAGTCGTGTCAGACTCTTTGCAGCCCCACACACTGTACCCACCAGGCTCCCTTGATCATGGAATTTCCCAGGCAAGAATACTGGGGTGTGTTGCCAAACAAGGCTCTGCACTGAAGAATTGATGCTTTTGAATTGCAGTGCTGGAGAAGACTCTTGAGAGTACTTTGGACTGCAAAGAAATCAAACCAGTCAATCCTAAAGGAAATCAACCCTGAATATTCATTGGAAGGACTATTGCTAAAGCTCCAATACTTTGTGAAGAGTATTAGAAGTGCCACCTAATGTGAAGAGTCAACTCATCGGAAAAGATCCTAACGCTGGGAGAAACTGAAGGCAAAGGCAGAAGGGGACAGCAGAGGATGAGATAGTTAGCATCACCAACTCAATGCACATGAATCTGAACAAACTCTGGGAGACAGTGGAGGAAACAGGAGCCTGGCGTGCTGCAGTCTATGGGGTCACAGAGAGTCGGACATGACTTAGCAACTGAACAACAAAAATGTACACTTTACATTTTGATACATATTGTAAAACTCTGACAAATTTGTATTTTTCACTTCCTCCAATAAAATGCATTGTTCTTGAAGATATAGATTAGCAAGTAAAAGGAAATCTTATCCCAATAATCAATACATTTGAAAAAATGTCTAGAAAAATTCAATATTTTTCCTTTCCTTACTAAAAATAAAATTACCATATGATCCACCAATCCCACTCCTGGCCATACATCTGGACAAAACCATAACTCAAAAAGATACACGCACTCCTATGTTCATAGCAGCGCTATTCACAACAACCAAGAAATAGAAAACAGCCTAAATGTCCATTGACAGATGAATGGATAAAGAAGACGCAGCACATACATACAGTGTAATATTACTCAGCCATAGAAAAGAATGGAATAATGCCATTTGCAGCAACATGGATGCAACTAGAAATTATTTTCACACTAAATGAAATAAGTCAAAAAGAGAAAGATGAATACCGTATGATATCACTTACATGTGGAATTTAAAATATGACACAAATGAACATATCTATGAAACAGAAACAGAATCATGGGCATAGAGAACAGACCGGTGGTTGCCAAGAGGTTGGGGAGGGCTGGAGTAGGAGGTTGGGTTAGCAGATATAAGCTTTTACACATAAAATGGATAAGCAACAAGGTCCTACTGGATAGCACAGAGAACTATATTCACTATCCTATGATAAACCACAATGGAAAAGAATTTTTTAAAAGAAATTTTTAATTGATTTACGTTGCTGCACAGTAGTAATTAACACAACACTGTAAATCAACCTTACTTCAATCTTTTTTCCTTTCTTTGTATGAGTGGGAAAAGTATGCTGATATAAAATTTGACAAAATTAAAGTCCTCCAAACTTGTCACAGATCCTGCTAAACCGGATTTAATTGGACAAAGACTATATAGAAACCAGTCAGATCAAAAGGATTTTAATGGAAATATGGAAGCTAGAAAACCAAATATTGTAATTTCAACATTTATTAAGAAAGTATTTACTGTTAGTAACCATTTCCGACACTCTCCAAATATTATAGTAAAACTGTCTTAACACACAGCGCAGGAGTAAAAATTCAGTTATGTAAAATGCAGCATTCCATCTCTGTCAAGTTAACCAGAAACACTGTTTTATCAGTTTGTATTGTCCTTTTAAAGTGCACATAGGTATACACACATACACACACACACGGAGCTAAACTTAACCAGATAGTACACTGTAGAGAAAGAGGCCAAATGCTAAGAAAGTCAGCCCATCCCTGATGATGAGGGACAAATGGGGAAGACCAATCCCAGGGGGGTTAAACCAAATTCATGTCATTTAAGATTGAGACACTGCTCATGTTCTACATTTCATATAATGTTTATGTTTACTTATTTGCTTACATTAAGGTGACTTGCAGGATTCCTCCTCCAAATTCATTTTAAATTATCTTCTGGGGAAAATCAGCTCAATAAAAATTTCAAACATGACACCTTTACATACTTTTAGTCATTTAGCAAAAAAGTACTGAGCACCTTCATTGAGTTGGAGACTCAGCAATGTATGAAACCCCTTCTCTTAATAAGCTTACATTCCAGTGGACGTGAATTTAGGCATGCTCATCGTTGTGTTAATACTTTTGTTAAAATCCTGGCCATACTCATGTCTTTTCTAAGCCATAGTACAATAGCTGATTAAAGTCACTTGCAGTGACTGATATTCAAGTTCCCATGAAATCCCATATGGAACCCCGCTCATTAGATAAGTCTCTGCTGTGTGGTCTCCTGAGTACTGTGAATGTTGATGTTGAGCAGAAACATTACATTTTCATGAAAGAAATTCTTTTTCTACTATGAGAACTCGAGTGAGTGGAAAATTTCAGCTCGTTTGAGGACTTCAGAACAAAATGGAACACCACATTACAGAACTTCGCTTCTGTATGGATTCTCTGATGAAGGGTAACCCTTACTATATTCTTCACTTGTATAGAATTTATCACCACTGTGGACTCTTTGATGAATTAGGAGCCCTGAACTCCAACGGAAACCCTTACCGCACGCGTCACATTTGTAGGGTTTCTCTCCTGTGTGGACTCTCTGATGAGCCTGGAGGTTTGATCTCTGACTGAAGCCCTTTCCACACACTTCACATTTGTATGGTTTTTCCCCAGTGTGGACTCTGTGATGGGCTTGAAGACTTGAAAACCCACTGAAGCCCTTGCCACACTGTTCACATTTATAGGGCCTCCCTTCTGTGTGGACCCTCTGATGGGCTTGGAGGCGGGAACTCTCACTGAAACCCTTCGTGCACACTGCACATTTGTAGGGTTTCCCTCCGGTGTGGACCCTCTGATGTGCTTCAAGGCGTGAGCTCTGACTAAAGCCCTTCCCACACATCTCACATTTATACGGCTTCACTCTGGTGTGGACTCTCTGGTGGCCTTGAAGATATGCTCTCTGACTGAAGCCCTTCCCACAAACCTCACAGATGTATGGTCTCTCTCCGGTGTGGACACTCTGATGGCTCTGAAGGTAAGACCTCTGACTGAAGCTCTTACCACACTCATCACACTGGTAGGGTTTCTCTCCTGTGTGGACTCTCTGATGGGCCAGAAGAGTTGAGGCCTTGCTGAAGCCCTTCTCACATTCTCCACATTTATAGGGTTTCTCTCCTGTGTGAACCCTCTGATGAATTTGAAGATTAAAGCTCCAACTGAAGCCCTTCCCACACTCCTCACACTTGAATGGTTTTTCTCCCGTGTGGACCCTTTGGTGGCCTTGAAGGTGTGAACTCCGACTGAAGCCCTTCCCACACTCCTCGCACTTGTATGGTTTCTCGCCAGTGTGGACTCTCTGATGCCCTTGAAGGTATGAATTACGACTGAAGCCCTTCCCACATGCCTCACATTTGTATGGTTTTTCTCCCGTGTGGACTCTCTGATGGGCTTGAAGGTATGAACTCCGACTGAAACCCTTATCACACTCCTCACACTTATAAGGCTTCTCTCCTGTGTGGATTCTCTGATGAACATTTAGAACGGATCTATGACTGAAGCCTTTACCACATGCACTGCATTTGTACGGCTTCTCGCCAGTATGGACTCTCTGGTGATCTTTAAGTTTTGAATTCCAGTTGAAGCCATTCCCACATGCTTTGAAAGGTTTTTCTCCAATGTGAATTTTCTGATGGCCTTGAAGATACGAACTTTGGCTGAAGCTGTTACCACATGTGTAATGTTTATAGGGTTGTTCTCTAGTGTGGACTATCTGAAGGTCTTGAAAATGTGAGCCCAGACTGAAGCCATTGGCCTCAGAATTATAGGGAATCTCTTCCATGTGAACTCTGTGTTGAATGTTCAGATCTGAGTTACAAATGAAACCCTTCTCACACTCAACATCTGTGTATTGTTTCTCTTCAGTGTGGATTTTCTGATGGGCTTGAAGACAAGAATTCTCATTAAAGACATTCCCATTCTTCTCAGATTCATGGGATTCCTCCTCGATGTAGATCCTAACAATACTACTAAGGTTTAAGCTATGACTGAAGCCTTTCTCATACATGCTGCATCTATCAGATGTCTCTCCTCTGGGTATAAGTTCATATGTGTTATGAAAGGAGCACTGATTGATGCTCTCACTGTATTCACATTTAAACAGCTTCTCTTTTGCGTGTCCTTTCTGATGCGACTGCAGATGTAAATTCTCAAAAACACAATGATCTCCTCCACAAACACTCTGATGAATATGAAGAACTGACCTGTAACTACAGTCCTTTTCACACGGACTGTATGTACGGGGCTTTCCTTCCAAGTCTAATTGCTGATGAACTTCAGAGCTGGACTCATCGCTGAAGGCTTTTCTGTACTCATTACCAGGATAGGGCTTTTGCCCTGTTTGAATATGATTAAGCAATGAAACCTTCATGACATCTTCTCCACAGTCATGGCAGCTAGAGTTTTTTTCTGTTCTGTGTACACCCAGAATGTCACTGTGATGTGAGATCCAACCGATGCTGTCAGGTTTACAGAAACCATTTTCCATGGAAATTTGCTGACATTGACACTGATAATTACGTGACTCTGTAAGGTACATTTTCCTCCAAGAATGGTGGGCTCGCCAAGAGGGAAATTCTTGACTTTTTATGTCATTGGAACCATCTCCTGTGTGAGTCAAGACATAGTTCTCATTTTCAGAAATCTGAATTGGTATTCCTGCCCAAACCTGGCAGGGGGAATCACCTTGTTTTTGCAATGGAGAAATATTCTCTTGGAAGTTTCTCATGGAATCTTGACACCCAGTTAACTTGCCTGCACCTTGTTGCCAGGACTGCCAGGTGGAAAACTCTTTGGGGGAAAAGCAGCTTAATCCCACTTCTTGAATACTTTCCATATTATGTGGACTCTTGGTTCCTATAAGAATAAGGAGATTTTAGACATGTGCACAATGAATACTTTTATTCAGAGATTTCAAGATTCTGCACTTAGATCATGACATGAAACTTTAATAAACTGGAGGAAAGTTTGTTACTACCTCTGACAATACTTAGAATATCCTTTACCTTTGGCTACACCAGGAATAGAAGTAGGATCCACAGAATATGGGCTACGCATATGCCTCAAAATAAGGGCTATGCAATGCAACCTGGACATCAAAGATGGTTTTTGATGGAGGGTCAAAAGGCCTAGTTATACCATGCACACATTATCATGGGCTGCCTGGAGATTCCAAGGAAAAAACAGACGGGGGTAGTCTCAAACTGGAAAGAATTTAGTTTCAAGTGGACAAATGTGTTTTGCCCTGATAGTAATTTATCGTTTTTCTCTGCCACTTGGGCATGGTAATGGTTTTTTTTGTTTGTTTGTTTTTAAGAAGATCATGTGTTAAATGCTATGCACATGAAGGTAAACAGAGACCTTTAATCGATTCTTGAGGTCTTGTATGGCCTAACTCTAATGAGTTCATTTTCATGAGAATAATAAGTTCTCCTATGTCACTATAAGCCATAATCAGTTTTAACTCCTTTTAAAATATATTTTGTGATTAGCAAGGGCCATGGGGCAGGTGAAATGTGAAACACTGTGACAGAATTGTACAGGCAAGATGGGAATTTGCTCTATGACTCAAGAAACTCAAACCAGGGCTCGCTCTGTAACAACCTAGAGGGGTGGGATGGGAAGGGAGGGTCAAGAGGGAAGGGACATAGGTATACCTATGGCTGATTCATGTTTATGTTTGGCAGAAACCAACACAATACTGTAAAGCAAGTATCCTTCCATTAAAAGTAAATCAATCTAATTCAAAAAAGAATTGCACAGGCAAGTTTCATGGTCCTTTGAGGCAACTTAAGAAGCAAAACTCAATGAACACTGACTTTGTCATTTTGCTGGAAAAGCACTTTATTGTTTAAGGAATCTGAGGCACTGGAAGAGTTGAAGATGGGCATGTTTGGGTGGAAGTGGCTTGTCTGTTAGTTACTAAAGCTCAGGTTATCAGCAGGCAGCATATCATTCACATCCTAGTGAGAAGTATACTTATTCCCAGAGAACAAGTGGTCCAACAGGGCTGAAGCAATAACACGCACTCTCCTAATACTTGGCGAAACATTAATTCTCTTTCAGTATCCAAAGTGAGGGAAAAAAGAAGTAAAGGGGATTTTTTCTCATAATGTGAATATTACCTTCAAATGCAATAATTCTTCCTTAGCTGCTTGTGCTTTCCTGTCTCTAAACACCGGAGTGTATTGCACACAGGCAAGGGCACTTTGCTGTGTGCACTGTCTCACCCTCACTGCCTATTACACTCCTAGTGAACAGCAGTTGCTCAATGAGCATATGATGAATAGATCACAGCTTGAGTCATTTAGTCACAGAACTGAAAGGGCATGCATGTGTAGGTTACTTTTTATGGGAAAGAAGCTGGTGATGGCAATTTTATTGCACAGCTGAAAGGCTGTATGAGAGGCAGGGTTACACTCAGTTATCACTTGCCAGAGAGAAAAGCAAAGGTCACGAGAGTCTTGTGGACTGTGTCTTTTTAATTTTGAAAATAACCTTTGAAATGGTGTAGTTTTTCTCACACAAAATCTTACTCTTAGTCCCACCCTATCCCCAACTTTTAAAAAAAGGAAAAAAATAAAGGGCAACCCTGACGACTGTGTGGCAGCAGGCTCTGGGGCAATGCGTTGGCTGCAGGGCCTACCACACATCCATGAGTACTCATCTCAGTACTTAAAAACAAGAATGCTTAGCGACGTCTTTGGTTCTCAGAAGCAAGGCTTACAGTTATTACACTAACATTCTGTCACCTAAAGATGAAATGGAGTTCCCTGGCGGTCCAGTGGCTACGACTCCATGCTCCCAATGCAGGGGGCTTGGGTTCCATCCCTGGTGAGGGAACTAGATCCCACACGCTGCAACTAAAACCCAGTACAGTCCAAAAAAAAGAGTGTATATATATATATATATATATGTATATAGCTAAATGCTGCATGTTATAGCCACATATTGGATTATGTAGCAATGATTTTTTTTTTGGCAATGATTTTTTGAAAAAAAAAAAAAGAGTTATAATCTCAGATTGGAGGGATGTCCCCAAGGTACCATGAAGGTGAAAAATTAGTACTTTAAAAATAAGAATATATATTTTCAAAATTTTGCATGAATATAAGGTATAAACATGTTAATATATGGAAATACTAAATAAAAAGGTACTTCAAAATATGACATTACATTCCTACTGATACTATCAGGCAGGGGGACTAGCACACTATGGCCCTATCTCTGTTTTTGTATAGCCTAGGAACAAGAATAGATTTTACATTTTTTAAACTGGTGTAAGAAAAAACATTTGGTCTCTCTGACAGAGGTCAAACATGGTCCGCAAAACCTAAAATATTTACCATCTGAACCTTCAGAGAAAAAGTTTGCTGACACTTTCTCTAAAGAGTATGTTGCCTGTATGACCTTGAACCTGAACTGAGACAAGAACAGAAAAATCATAGAAGTGAAGTAATTTGCTTTGAAATTTTCAGTTGACTCTCATTCCCACCCAGGAGCATTCCCAGCTGCACAACTGTGACCATGGCTTTTGACATCAGAGTCTGAGGACTCAAGAAACATTACTAAAATGTTTGGACTCACATAAATGTCCAGCTTGGAAGTTCTACTTCAAAAAGAAAATTATAGGCCAGTACCCCCAGTGAACATGATGCAAAAATCCTCAACAAAATATTCTGAATTCAACAGCACATTAAAAGATTGTACAAGACAATCACATGGGTCTCATTCTAGGGATGCAAGGATGGTTCAACATCTTCAAGTCACTACACATGACACCCAATATTAACAAAATGAAGGATAAAAATCATATGACCAAAAGCAACAAAAGCAAAAATAAACAAGTGGGACTACATCGAACTAAGAAGCTTCTGCACAGCAAAGGAAACCAACAGTAAAATGCAAAGGCAAACTTACTGAATGGGAGAAAATATTTGTAAATCATATATTTGATAAGGGCTTAATATCCAAACTACATAGAGAACTCATACAATAGCAAAAAACAAACTATTCAATTAAAAAAAAGTGGGCAGAAGACCTGAATAGTCATTTTCCCAAAGAAGACACACAGATGGCCAACAGGTTCATAAAAAGATGCTCAACAACATTAATCACCAGGGAAATACAAATCAAAATTACAGTGAGCTATCAACTCCCATCTGTTAGAATGGCTATTATCAAAAAGATGTGCGTGTGTGCTCAGTCACTTCAGTCGTGTCTGACTCTTTGCGACTCTATGGACCATGGCTCTAAGACAAGAGATGACAAATGCTGGCAAGGATGTAGAGAAAAGGGTTTTGGGAACCCTTGTATACTGCCGGTGGGAATATAAGTCAATGTAGCCACTATGGAAGTTGTTATGGAGGTTCCTCAGAAAATTAAAAATAGAATTATCACATGGTTCAGCAATTCTACTTCTAGGTATTTATCTGAAGAAAAAGAACACTAACTTAAAAAAATATAGCCCATAGGGTTGCAAAGAATCAGACATGACTAAACAACAACAAATGTACACTGTACATGTACACTGCAAAATTATTTACAACAGTCAAGATAAAGGAACAATCTTAGTGTCCACTGATGGATAAATGGATAAAGAAAATTCAGCCATAAATAAAAATGAAACCTTGCCATTTGCAACAATACAGGTAGACCTTGGAGGTATTTAAAGACAAATCCTGCTTGATCTCTATTATATGTGGAATCTAAAACCACTCCCCAACATACAAACACACCAACCAAGCTCACAAATAACAGAAAACAGATGGTTGGTTGCGAGAGGCTACAGTTTGGGGATGGGAGAAATAGGTGAACTGATTTTTTAATTTAAATAAACGGAATAAAATTAAAAAAAAAAAAGAAACTGTAGCTAGGTCAAGAGACTGCTACATATTAGAGGATGGGAGAGTAAGAAGTAAGAACAGAATGAGAAGATAAAGAACTGGGCACTTGAATGAGGAAGTTAATGCAAGAGTGTCTCATCTGAAATGGCTGCATGGGAGGGCAGATTATCCTTAAGCACTGATCATTTCTGATATTTCTTTTAGTTGCCTGGCTATTCTTAACCTTTTAGGAATAATGAGTACCTATCCATGAATACTAAAGGACACCTAAACAGAATCAGGACAGGCGTTCATCTGATGACAAACGACACTCTGGAGCCTCTCTCTATCACATGGTTTACTCTACACCTGTTAGCTGCCTCAGGGAGCACTGAAGACAGTGAAGACCAGGCATGTATTAACCAACTCACTCATTCAAGGCACAGAGCAAAGCAAGCCAAGTAACCGGAAGCAGAAGCACCACTGAGACAGGTCTGATGGGCAGCAACTGGGCCAGTGCAGCTGGGACAGAAGGAATGAGCTAGAATAGGAGAAGCTAGAGCAGTGAGGGTACCGACGCCTCAGGGCCTGACACCTTCTGACTCGTGTCCTGGGGGTGTCCTCTAGCTGCTGGGCGACTGCTGGATGGTTCTCACCTGAACACCCACCTCTCTGGGTCTCCATCATCAAAAGCTCTTCTCTCTCCAGCTGGAATATAAGCTCTGGTTTGAAGGGCTGATTTCCTGTAAAAAAGGAGAGAAGAGCGAAAGTATTCAATTTTGACTAAGTCTAACTTGTGGTTTTTTGGTTTTTTTCCCCTCCTGGATCATATTTTTGTTTTTGGGGTTTTTTTATCTTCTGAATCATATTTTTGGTGTCATATCTAAGAAATCTTTGCCTAACCTAATGTCATGAAAATTTTCTCCTGTGTTTCCATCTACAAGTTCCACACTTCTACATTTTACATGAGGCCCTTCATCCACTTTGAGTTAATCTTTCATTTTGTAGGTGTGAGGCATGCAAATATATGCATACGGAAGTCCTAAGTGTTTCGGCACTATCTGTTGAAACAATACTTTCTCCAGTGAATTGCCTTGGCACCTGCAGTACATATAAAATAGTCTCGGAGTTGCTTATTCCGTTCACTGCAGTAAACAAATCCACTAAGAAGTGTTGAGGATTGCAATTCATTCTCGCATCCTCCTCCCACTAGACCTAAAACTAAAGGTATATAGAGTTATAGACTGTATTCCTTAGCTACTTCCATGAATCCTTTCTCTGTTCACTGTGGTTAAGGTATTCCTTTCAAACACAATTCATTTTTCTTTTCGATAACCATCCCTTCACATTCTTATTTATTTTTTAGAATGTGTTGAACTAAATATTTTCTTAAAAGACTTTTTTTGCTGTGGATCATTTTTTAAAAGTCTTTATTGAATTTGTTACAGTATTGCTTCTGTTTTATGTTTTGTTTTTTTTGGCTGCAAGGCATGTGGGATCTTAATTCCCCAACCAGGGATTGAACCTGCACCTTCTGCATTGGAAGGTGGAGTCTTAACCACTGGACCACCAGGGAAGTCCCCTAACATATTTTCAAAAGTCCAAACTAGACAAAAAGGTATTATTCAGACAAGAGTGACTCTCTCAAACATCCCTTCTACACTATCACAACTCACCATTGACAAAAAACTAAATTCATGATTTCCTGATTAATCCTTGTGTTGCCCACATATATTTACTTATTTTCCCTTTTTTACCTTTACACAAACAGGTATACTATTAATGCTCTTTTGTACTTGGTTATCTTCAGGGAAAATTCCTACAAGTGAGTTGCTGAGAACAGGTAAATCCATAGTTCTGTTAGGCACTGTCAAATTCTTCTCCATAGGGGAGGTATCATGTTGCATTCCCACTGTCAAAACATGAAAGTGCTTTATTCCCCACAACTTTGCCCCCCCCAAAATAGTGTTAAGTTTCTGAATTCTGGGGGACTTCCCTAGCGGTCCAGTGGTTAAGACTTGGTGCTTGGGGCCTGGGTTCAATCCCTGGTTGAGGAATGAAGATCCCATAACCTTCATGAGACAGCCAAAAAAAAAGTTTTTGAATTTTTGCGAACCTCATGAATGAAAAATGGCGTTTCAGTGTAATTTGAATTAGCACCTCTATTATTTTGAATGAAACTGAATAAATATTCATATGTATAGATATTTATATATATGCATGTATGTATAGGTATATGAATATAGGTGTACACATCCAGACACACCCCTAATCCTAGCTCTAAGCCCTGAGACCAGGAAACAAAGATACCACAGTGGCAAGGACAATTCTTAGCATCCAAGGCCTATTCTGTAACCTTTCCATATAACAGTGTAGCCTTGAGTATAACAGCTTTTAGTGAGTTCTCAGGGTCCTCCAGCAAATTATTTGAGGCTCTGGGCACCCCCAGCTTACCACTGGTGTCAGAGTGTAGTCCTGGGGATTCTTGAACTTGGCCTGCACACAGAAGCATTTAGGGATATTAGGGCCATGTCATGTGTAAATTACCCTCAAATGGTTCAGAGAAAAATTATGCATATGAGAAAAGAGCATTCACATAAATGATAAAGTAAATGGGGTGAAATATTACTCTAGGTGTGTGTGCTGCGCTCAGTCATGTCTGACTCTTTGTGATCCATGGACTGTAGCCTGCCAGGCTCTTCTATCCATGGGATTTTTCAGGCAAGAATACAAGTGTGGGTTGCCATTTCCTCCTCCAGGGGATCTTCCCAACTCAGGGATCGAACTTAATCACCTGTGTCTCCTCCATTATAGGCGGATACTTTACCACTGAGCCATAGTTAAAAGCGATAGGGGTATTCTTGTTCTATACTTTTACAAATTTTCTGTATGTTTGAAGACAGATATGTCACTAAAGCAGAAAAACCAAAATACCTCTGAAAAACCACAGCTACAGTTACTGGCACCACGAAAATCAGAAAAGCTGCAGCAACTCGACTTCATGGGGCAGGACCACAAGCTCCCCATTCATATTAATAGTTCAAGGGACATATTTTTTTCCTGGACAGGAACACACTGTCTCTGTCTCTGGGAATACTAGGACTTGTAGCTACCCAAGCTGAGAGGACGATTTTAGGAGTTCCAGAGCTTCAAATGACTGCCCACAAAGGTCTCGCAGGAGGCTGACACTGAGTCCCCAAGGCGCTGTGCTCACCCACTGAGAGCAGGTTCCGGAAGTTCTCCAGCATCACTTCCTGGTACAGCTTCCTCTGAGCCGAGTCCAGTAGCCCCAGCTCCTCCTCGGTGAAGACCACGGCCACGTCCTTGAAGGACACTGGCTCCTATAACACCAAACACACACACACAATGTTTACGGAAGAGGGGCAGCCCCGAGAAAGTGTCAGGGACAGGAGGTGGTTCCGGATTCCCAAGGACCGAGTCACATTTCAGCAGCTGCCTTCTGTTTGCCTTTCACACTGCTGATTCCATCCACCAGAAAGGCTGCAGGAAAAGGAATCCTTGCACTTGAAACGGCTGCCTTTTGTTAGTACCCCTGTAGGTAAGTCCCTGGAGCTCTGCTGCATTGCGTGGGCTGCTGGAAAAGCTTTAGTTCCAACAGTGTGCGAAGGAGTCTGTTTTCCCCCTTTTTATACACATATATTGCTTATTTGATGTGCCAGACTTATAGGGCATGAGTCACCCTTCCTATTCAAGTATGGAGCCCCTCCTCTGGGCCCCCATCCGGATGTGCAGCATTTATGGACACAGCTCTGGGGCCTCACTCTTCTGTGGGGCCCTGGACCCAGTCCTCATCCTCTCTTCATTTGCAGGCTGGTAACTGTACCTTAGGGTACTGGTGATAATAAAATGAGTGACTATAGGTAAAACATTTAGGAACAGTGCCTGGTACATAGTATGTACCCAGTGTGTGCATGCTAAGTCGCTTCAGTTGTGTCTGACTCTTTGTGACACTATGGACTGTAGCCCACTAGGCTTTTCTGTCTGTGGAATTCTCCAGGTGAGAATACTGGAGTGGGTTGCCATGACCTCCAGATTTTCCCAACCCAGGGATCAAAACCGTGTCTCTCTACATCTCCTACATTAGCAGGCAGATGGGTTCTTTACCACGAGAGCCACCTGGGGAGCCCAAGTATCTAATAAATGCTAACTATTATTGTGATTACTATTACCATTATCATTGCTGACATTCCACTTCAGGGCTACACAGTAATTCAAGGAACTGATGGTTGAGAATATAGTGAACTGATACAAATAATGCATGCTTACTTAGTTTTAGAGTATATATTATTAACAATGTTGCAAGATTGTTTCCATATAGACCTTAGTCCCTAGAACTCTGCTGGTTATCTCCTGAAGATAAATTACAAAAACTAGAAAAGGTAATGTTGAAGAATAACAAACTTTAAAGTTTTGAGACCATAATGGCAGGTGTTTCCTCCAAAAAGATTTTTCTTAGTTTATTCTGCTTCCAAGAAAGTATAAATTCCTAAGCCTCCATACCTTGGCCAACAATGGACATGAATACTTAAAAGCAAAAACCAAAAAACTTTGATAATCTCAGAAGTCAATTTGGGAAGCCAAAACTAGTTATCTCAAAAAACTTTCACAAAATTGGTAAGTAATGAAGATTACTCTCTTTTCATATGTTTGCTGGTCATCTCTGTTTCTTGTTTTGTAATAACATTCATTCACCTGGGGACAGTAAGGCCTTTTCTTCCATATACAATATAAAGACTTTTCTTCCTATCTTGTTATCTGTCTTTTAATTTTTTTGCTATAGGGAAATTTAAAATTTCTATATGAAGGCCTGCTCAACACTGCATTTGTTCTGGCTGGAGCATCAAACATCACAACTTCAAGTCTTGGTCTCTGAATGAGAACTCTGGTTTGGTTTGTTTTTTTTTGTTTTTGTTCTGTGTCTCTTTCCACCCCAACAGAATGCTTGATACTCTTGGTCCATAAAGACTTTGGAATTGACCAGACACGTGCCTACTGTAGAAACCTGAAGAGGACCTGAACTTACATGAACCTCTTATTTTCATGTTGACGGTGAAGATGATTCAGTCCCTCTCAGAGCAGTGAATAGAGTTACAGATGGAAAGTGCCTGTGTCCTTTTCTTGGAGTATAGTTGCTTTACAAGTGATAGTTTCTGCTGTACAGTGTCTGTATGACTTACAGTATGTCTAAAATTTTAAAATTAATAAATAAATGAGTTTTATATACATTTATTTTTATTTATTAAAGATTAAATATAGGGAAAATGATTCTGTTGTGTAAAACTGTGAGAATCATCAAGAAGTTAAAGCTTGTGGATGAGGAATACTTTTCTAAAAAGGAGGAGAGTGTATAATATTTCATTGAAATAATATTAGATGACAAAAATTGAGTGCTATAATCTTAAGTGAAAAAAAGACAATTCAAAATTGTATCTGTTATTGCAAGTCTAGTTATGAATGCACATGAAAAATAAACATAAAAAAACAAGTGATGTAGGCAGGGTAATAACGTGTGGGCCTTCCCATCTTAAAAATTTCTATTCTCTTTTACACTGTTAGTTGTGAAACAAAATGGTAATATATAAAACCGAGAAAGGAAATTTTTTAAAAAGTGAACCAAGAGAGCATGACACACAAATGGTATTAAATGTCTGCTGTCACTCTTTACTCTGGCAAGGGAGAAAAATAAGGTATCCACTGAGAAATGAAATTACCTGTTAAGTGACAGAAATAAAAAATCCAACTCACCTGGAACTTCATCATCATCTTCTTGTCCTTTTCCTGGGGAAAGGCAGAGACCTGAAGAGACACAAAACAAGAAGGAAGCCATGAGACGGGGGAAACGCATCTCTGTGCAAATCCGAAAAAGGTGTCCCTTCTCCTGGGCAGATGCAGCCACATACACCCTCACAGGCAGGGTGTGGGCTGGGGTGTAACCATCCCCAGGCTAACCTGGCAGGAGGCCCACAAGTGAGGGGCAGCCTGCACCACCACACCCTGCAGCCCTCACACAGCTCAAGTCTCCCCAGAATGCACTGTGAACCTGGGGAACATGGAAAAGGAGACAGAGTGAAGTGGGAGAGGAGCGGTGCTTGTTAAAAGTACCTCCGGGGACAATTAGCTTTTAAAACCTCTAATTGCTATAGATTTGCTGCACATTTGCTCTATATTCCTTGTGTGTGTGCTAAGTCATGTCTGACTCCTGGTGACCCAGTGGACTGTAGCCCACCAGGCTCCTCTGTCCGTGGAATTTTCCAGACAAGAATACTGGAGTGAGTTACCATTTCCTTCTCCAGGGGATCTTCCCAACTCAGGGATCAAACCCACACCTCTTGCATCTCCTGCATTAGCAGGCAGATTCTTTACCTCTGCACCACCTGGGAATTGCTCTATATTGGCACTGTTAAAGATTTGCTATAGGTTTTTTAACCATGGTTAAATTAACCTCTCTAGGCTTACTTCTGCAAGCTGCAACACTAGGATTGTAATAGTACAAATACCGTAAGATTGCTGTGAGGATACATGGGTGAGTAGTGAAAAACTGTAGTAACTATACCAGCATTTTATATTAATATCTGGTAGCTTCAGAGAAGCAGGTACTATTTTGCAATATAAAACAGTCCTTACAAATGGGGGTTTTAAGAAATCTGGGCAGCAGAGATTATGGCTTTTCATTTAATAATTTGTTGCCCTGATACTACTGCAGGTGGCCAAAAGGTTCATTTGGGTTTTCTGTACCATATTAGGGAAGAACCCAAAAGAACTTTTTCACCAACCCAATAACGTTCATTTAGACTTTGAGACCACCCTTCTGAGAAGTTTAATGGCTGGTGCATGTTCCTCCTGAAGCTGGAGGAGATTCCAGTGGTACACCCCTCTTCCCACGTGGATATGATAAAGCTTATAGAAGCCGGTGATGATACTGTATCTATGTGAAGCACTGGCTCCGTGCTTGAACCATGGGAGGATCTGGAAACCACGAGTTTGACTTCTTGGGTTCTTCCTCAAGGTTATTTACCATTCTCAACCGTCATTTACTGTTATCTATCTTCTTTACTATTCCCAAGCAACTTCCAAGTCATCTGTTGAAGAAAAAGAACTCAAAAGAACGGGGAGGGGACTAATCACAGGCTTTGTGGCCACATAGTGTCTCCGTGGAATAAGGTTCCTTTTGTTCCTTTTACAACCTTTAAATGTAAAAACCATTCTCAGCTGGAGAAGGAGAGGAACTTTACAAAAATAAGCCATGGGCAGTAGTCTGCCCACCTGCATCCTCCACCCTCTTGGGGTTTTTATTTTTTTAAGTCTTTATTGAATTTGTTACAATACTGCTTCCATTTTGTGTTTTCTTGGCCTAGGAGGCATGTGGGATCTCAGTTCCTCTGCCAGGGATTGAACCTGCACTCCCTGCATTGGAAGGGGAAGACGTAACACCGGATTGCCAGGGAAGTCCTAATTCTCTTAGCTTTTAACACTCAGCTGCTCCAGGATACCTTTTAACAAGTAACTGACTGCAGTCTTATTAATTCCTAAAACCCAGTTTGCCAGTCTAATAAAAGCAATGCTTTGTCCAAGTAGGTGATGAGGCAGGGTGGGAGGGGTGTCAGTCCCTGGGTTGGGAAAATCCCCCAGAGGAGGGCATGGCAACCCACTCCGGTATTCTTGCCTGGAGAATCCCGTAGACAGAGGAGCCTGGTGGGCTACAGTTCATAAGGGTTGCAAAGAGTCAAACAGGACTGAGCATGTATGTAGCAAAGTAAAGTTTTGCAAGTTAATTAACCCCTCAATGCCTCTGTTTCTTCATCTGTAAAATGTAAATAAAAACAGGAAGGATTCTGTAGCAGTCCAGTGGTTAGGAATCCCTGCTTTCACTGTCCAGGGTGCTGGTTCAATCCCTTACTGAGGAACTACGATGCCACGGGCAGCACAACGTGGCCCAAAATATATATTTTTAATGGAAATAAAAATAGGTTTATCATGAAGAATACATGAGTTAATGCATCATAGCGTTAGAAATCCAGTGAAGTTCATAATAAGCACCCAATAAAGATTAGCTATTATTAGTGTCATCCTCACTGTCACCATGAAATATACAAAAGCCACACATTAGCCCATTTGTTTCTAAGTATATTTATTTTATATAGTAATTATCAGTAGGTGTACATCACCTTTTGAATATTCCTAAAAAGCTGGTGGCTTCAGCATCCCAGCAAAACTGACTGCAATATGAAATGTGTATGAAAGTAAATTCACTTCAGTGACAACTAACTTCGAGTCACAAGTAGTGCCAAGTGACTTTATCAATTTCCACTGCTGTCGAAAGTTAAAACAAGGAATATCTTCATCCCTGCACAATCTTTTAGTGTGATGTGATGGCCAAAACTCACAGGATTTACACTAAAAGTAATTCTACTGTATGTAGGTTAAACAATAAATGTTAAAAATTGAATGAAGCTGTTCAGCAAGCACTTTTCCAACCAAAGACCCCAGAGAAAAACAATGCATTGCCTACAGGGGTACAGTGATTCAAACGGGTCCAGATTTTTCATTAGAAGTCACGAGGCCAGAAGGAAATAGCACAATACTTTTAAAGGAGGGAAAGAAAAGAATTGTCAAAGCAGAGTTGTATACTAAAGACAACAGTTTAGAAAAATATTTAGGGATGAAGTTTCGTGAAAATGTTCTCAGGTAACTCAGAATTCATAGGGAGCCGACTTGCCTTAAAAGGATTCGTAAAGGAAAACTTTCAAAGGCAACAAGGGAAAAAAAATTGTATCATCAGGAAGGAGTCACAGAACAGCAAATCTGGGAAAACAAGATAGATGACTTATCTCTTGAGTCCTTTAAAATATATTTTGCCATTGGAAGCAAAAATTATAACACTGACAGGGTTTTCAAAGTATATATTAGGTTGGCCAAAAAGTTTGTTCTGATTTGTCTGTAAGAGTTTTTTATATGACAACTAGAACATAAACATAATGCATTATTTTTCTCTGGGTAATGCTTTGTAGTTTTCTTTGTCTTTAGTTTTGAGTTTATCCTGTTTGGGATGTGCTCAACTTCTTAAAAGAAAACTTGTAGGTTACACTTAAGATACTAGAGAAGAGAAGCAAAATAAACCCAAGTCAAGCAAACAAAAGGAAAAAATAAAGGTAAATGCAGAAATCAATGAAACTGAAAACAGACGTGTAATAGCCAAGTCAATGAAACCAAAAATATTCATTTTTTTTCTCTTACTATAACAAAAACTCTAGCAAGAATGGCAAAGAATAAAACAGAGATTAAAAAAAGGTTACCAATATTAGGAATGAAAGAGTAGATATCATGACTTCTAGAAGAAAACGTAAGAGAAACTCTTCCTGACTTCGAGTAGGCAGAGTTCTTAGATGTGAAAAGCACAACTCATAAAACACTGCTAAATCAGACTTCATCAAAATTAAAATTTTGCTCTAAAATACGCTGTTCAGAGGATGAAAAGACAAGCCAGTCTGAGAAAAACTATTTGCAAATGACATCTGACAAAGAACTTATATTTAGAATACATGAATAACTCTCAAACATCAATAGTAAGGAAAATACAACTCAGTTACTCAGTTTTAAACTTAGCAAAACATATAAAGTGAAGAAGATAAATAAGTTGAAGAAAAGATGTATCTGCTCTACATTATTAGGCATTAGGGACATGTAAATTAGTCACAATAAAATAACAACACAGGTCTATCATAATAAAGGTTTTTTAAAAACCAACAGAGCATGCCGACAAGGATGTGAAGAACCTGGAACTGCCGTACATCATTAATGGGAACGCAAAACAGCAGATATCCTGAGAACAGTTTGGCTGCTTCTTACAAAGTCACACATACATTTTCTATATGACCCACCAATCCCATTCCTGGTTATAAATTCTAGAGAAATAAGCAAACAAAACAAAACGAAACCTTGTACACAAGTGTTTATAACAGCTTATTCGTAACTGCCAAAAGCTAGGTAGCTCAGCTGGTAAAAAAGCCACTTACAATGCAGGAGACCTCGGTTCGATTCCTGGGTCAGAAGTTCCCCTGGAGAAGGGACAGGCTACCCAGACCAGTATTCTTGGGCTTCCACGGTGGCTCAGATGGTAAAGAATCTGCCTGCAATGCGGCAGACCTGGGTTTGATCCCTGGGTTGGGAAGATTCCCTGGAGAAGGGCATGGCAACCCACTGCAGTATTCTTGCCTGGAGAATCCCCATGGACAGAGAGGCCTGGCAGGCTACAGTCGACAGGGTCACAAAGAGGTGGACATGACTGATCGACTAAGCACAGCACAAAAACATTCCAAATTTTCTTCAACAGGTGAATAAACTAGTATAACCATAAATGTAATATTAACCAGCAACAAAAACAAAGTACTGATACACACAACAACTTGGATGAATGTAAAAGGCATTATGCTGGGAATGGTTCTCAGAACTCTTTGAGATGCTGTTCCCGGATTATAACCCTCAATCTGGCACAAATAAAATTTTCCATTAAAAAAAAAAAGGCATTATCTGAGTGAAAGATACCAACCTTAAAGGGTTACACATGGTACAAGTTCATTTAAGTGGCATTCTCAAAAAGATGAAACTACAGGGTTATAGTGGTTTCCAGTGCTTATAGACACAGCGAGGGGTGATTATAAAGGAAAAATAGATTTTTTTTGTTGGGGGGGTGATGGCGCTGTTCTGTAGTTGATGATGGGGGTGATTATACAAATCTATACCTGTGGCAAAATTAACAGAATTGTACCCCTGAAAGGGAAAAATAGTCAATTGTATGA